AGTCCTTGGATTTCTAGTCCACTGCCATTCCCATCGCTCCCATGGCACTCTAATACAAGGGAGGCCCAGCCCTAGCCTGAAGGTACTAACACCCAAGGCGTTCTCCTCCAGCTGTGAGAAACATGTGCTCTACTTGTTCTTGTCATATGGAGAAAAGAAAGTCTCAGTGAAAAGATGAAAAGCTGTTACAACATTTAAGAGATGCCAAACTCCAGCCATTATAAAATCACAGAATTTATGAAAATCAGTCCAATACCTTTAACTTTAGAGATTAGGAAGAGATAGAAAGTAATTTATCTAAAGTTACCTAACAGCAAAACCAAAATTAAAACCTATTTACAACCCAATTCAATGGTTTTTCTGTTACATTGTACTTTTTCTCAAAATACAAGTGGGCAGCTGTTACCTATAGTTAGGACATTTCTGAAAATGAGGTCTGATGTTTATTATTTACAACTCAAGAATGTTAAGGCTAAGGACCTCACCAAACTCTTAATCCAAGAGAATATGGGCCAGGAGATAGAGAGTGATGAAACATGAGATATCGAACCAGCAACTTCCCAGGAAACAGAGCTGTGCTGTATGAAGTAGCCCCTGAGGGGGGACTTCTTCCCTGCAACAACAGTACTGTCACTGGAATCACTCAAGGACTTGGACTACTTGTGCCTTGATGACCAGGGTGCAAAGATGGCTGAAAGTCTTATTGAAAGAAGAGGATTATGAATCTGCCATAGCCAAGGGTGGTCTTTTTAAAAGCAGATTAAATTAAATAAGCAGCTACAAAAAGACCTGGTAAATGCAATCACTTATAGAGCACCAATTATATGCAAAGCACTACAGATGCTAAGACATGTCATACCTCTATCCTCAAGAAACTCAACAGATTAAATATTATGGGAACACAGAAGTGGGAAGCAAGCCTGAAGGAGCCAGGAGAGGATTTATTGAAGAGGAGACACCTGAGTTGAATCTTAAGGTTTGAGTGAGAATTATCCAGGTGAAAGAGCTGAGCAAAGACAGAGGAATGAAATGGTGTGCAGTGTTTGTACAACCAGAAACAGTCTGACAATGTTGGAGCCCAAAGTATGGGCAGGGAAGAGTCATAGCATGAGATGAGGCCAAATCAGAGGGCCTGATGCCATGCCATCTTGGACTTCAGCCTAAACTAATGGAGTGCACTAAAGAACAGATCACCCTGGGAACCAAGGCCGAGGAGGAATTTGAAGTTGGGAGGCAGAAAACTGATCATGAGTTGGTTGAAGTTCATTTAGGAGATGAGGAGAGTCTGTAAAGGAATGTACAAGTAGCGGTAGGAACGTATAGGATGTATCAGGTCATATTCCAGAAAAAAAAAATAAGGCTATTGAATGATGTTTTCTGATGGGTGGGTCTCCTGATTTAAATATTTCTCTCAGGGCTTTTTTCATGCCTGACGTTTTCATCATCAGAAGTTCCTTCAGTAGGATTTCCCCCACTAAAGTGGAGGTGATCACTACATTTTAGTGTTGGTCAGCTAATATTAAGATGGATTATGAAAGTTTACTGAGAATAGGCAGGGCTAGTCATGAGGGGAGAAGCATGGGACTTAGAGCAAAAACAAGGCATGGAAGTTTAGGCTGCTAAAAAGGAGATAAACTTTGTATGTCACCATTTTGGCTGGGCTGACCCTGCTCTGCTACAGAATCCATTTTCAGTCAGCTTGGGTGCACTATTCCAAAACTCTTTTACGTGAGACGCTGAAGTCTACAGAAGGACGGCAATAACAACAATAAAATAAACCCTAGCAAAAAAGGAAGAACTATGACTTCTGAGCTAAGGAACACCGTATAGGGGAAAGTTAACCCAGACACTGGGCTTTTAGAAAGTTGCTTAGAAATCGGGTCATTTCAGATCTTTTCCCCCTTGACTATAAGTGAAATATTGGCTCCTGTATTTTCATTTCCAGTAAGTGTCATGTTTAACTTGGAAATCTGACAAATACCAAGAACTCCTGCCCCACAGTTCACAGTATTACTGAGAGGATCAAATGGGACAAAAAGAGGCAAAAGCCTTTGTGTGCTATAAAGTGCTAAATGAGGTCATAAGCAGTCCCTCTGGCTCACAGGAGAAAAGAGGTAGATGGGGGCTCCGTGTCACAGCCCTTGCAAGGACTGCTCCCTAATGATGATCATAAAAATCTACCCAACATTGTCAACTGACTATACTTCAATAAAATAAATAAAATAAAATCTTTCAAATCTCTCAAATGTTAATGAGTAGAGCCCATAGTACCTTAAATCCTTCCCTTAAAGATTAAAATTAATGCAGGTTGTGAACTTAAAAGTAATACCTAAAAACAGACACGAATACATTTTTAACAAATCAGCTCTTTCCATAAAACCAGCCTCTATAATGAAACTCTTTTGTCACAAACAAGCATGTAAATAGAGGGATTTATATATGACTAAATTATTAGATTTATATTTCATTAGAATTAGAAAAGGCTTAGATCATTTCTACAGACTGTCTTTCCAGCCTCCTCTCCTTCCCCACTCTCCTTACAATAGGAAAACTGAGGTAATGGTAGAACCCAGACTAAAGATTTCCTGACTTCTGGTCTAAGGTTCTTTTTCTAGAAAATAATTTTCTAGAAAATAATATTTCAAGCATAAGGAAAAGCACAACAACAAACACTAGATCTTTTTAAATGTTAGTATCATATACTTTGAATCTTTTCTAAAAAAGAATAAAACATTATATTTCAGCAGATGATCCCCATTCCTCTATTCCATTCACCTATCTCCTTCTCGAGAGGTAACCACCATATTGAGGTTGTGGTGTCTTTCCATCCTTCTTGTTCATATTTGTATACAATTACCAAGTGATTATATACCCATTAACCACACCATGTTGCCACAAAAAGAGCTGGTCTTCAAACAAGGAAGAATCCCTCACTCTAAGTTGCAATTAAAACCTTTGGGGTTTGGCTGGATTTTGTAAAAAGAAACTAGGGCAGAGCTTAAGCTCCTTCTTAATGATTACCACAGAAGGATCTGGTGAAGCGTCTTGATATTTAGAGTGAAAATAATTTGGGCAAATATAAAAATTTTAATACTTTAAAAAAGTCCTTCTCAAGTTAGCGTTTCACATTTGTGAAACCTTGGTTTATAATGACCTAGTGTGAGTGACCTGTCACTGAACAATAGGGAAAGATGGATTAAGCAATTTAACTATAATAATAGTTTCTACATTTGCTTCAGGGTCCGGCTCTAATGTCACCACCTTAATGAATCTGTCCTCGATCCCTTCAGACTTAATTCCTTCAGCAGTCATTTATTGAGAGCCAAAGCCCTGAGGATACCAATGTAGATCAGTCCCTGCCCAGAGCTCAGAAATAATTACACAATAGTGTTTGATAAATGCTCTAATAGAGGTATCCATAAAGAGCTCGGGGAGTCCAACTTCTCCTGGAGCAAACGGTGAAGACTTTACAGAGGAGGTGCTATCTAAGCTGCATCTCGGAGGATGAGTGAGAGCCCACAAAACAGAAGATATGTCCTAGGTAGGGAGATACTGAATGAGGGGGTACAAAGGATGTTAAGATATTAGTCTTCCAAGGACAACCAAGGACAGACATCGGAGGTAGAGAGCTAAGTTAGAAGACTAGCAGCAATTCAAGCAAGAGATGACATGATTACAGGCATGAGGTGGGAGAGGGAAGGATTTTAACAAAAATCAGGAGATAAATTTAACAGAAGTTGATTGTAGGGGGACCGGGAAACAAAGAACATGGAGGAGATGGGGATGACTCCCAAAGGCTGGGCAAATGAGCGAGCAGTGAGGCCGGTGCCTACAGTAGGCAACACCGCACACGAGGCAAGAGCAGGCCCGAGGAGCGGGGCTCCCAGCCCCTCCGGAGCATCTGCAGGCCGCGATGCGGCCGCTCCTCTGAGACTTATAGACAACCTCCCTTTCCGGGCCAGAAACCACCCTTCCCCAGGCCCAAGGCATCCTGTATCCCACAGCTTCCTCACACCGCACTATTTAAATCTGCTGTATTTCCAGGTTTGTCTCTGCAGTAAGTCTCAGATAAGCGAGCTGGGTCTCGGTGTCCAGGCACCGCCCTCGCCCAGCGCCCAAGCACAGGGGGCCGCAGAGGTTGCCGTTCCTCACAGTTTGCTCCTCGGACACCAGGAAACGCTCCTCAGAACGATGACCCAAGCCGGCGGCCAGCGGCCAGCGGCCAGCGGCGCATGCGAGCCACTTGAGGCACCCGGCCCCACGGCGCCCACTTTCAGCTTCCTCCGCGCTTGTCTCACCTTCAAACACCCCTGCAAGGCGGCGACGGCGGCCCGATCTCTGGGGTCACAGGGTGTGCAAGGAGCTGAGCCCGGCTGTGCCGTCGGGGGCGGGTCTCACTGCCCCAGCTCGCAGGCGGGCCCCGAGGGCTCCCGGGAGCCGACAGCCCCAAGCCCACCCCACCTACCCGCAGACGGCGCAGCGGCATCAACCCCACGACGGCGTGAGGGTCGCGGAATTGGGGCGCGCGACCCGGCCCCCCCACCCAAGGAATGGGTTCTAGAAACCGGGCCTGGAAGGCAGTGGTGCGGCTCCGGCCCTCAGGACACGGCTGGTTCCGTACCTACCTCCGCGGTCCCGAGGAAGGCCCCGCGACGGTCCGACAGTGCGTTCACCTCAGACCCGCTGCAGCCTCCACCGGCCGCGTCCTCGCCGCCCATAGGCGCCCTAGGTC